CAGATCCAGGAACATTTTGGGATAACCAGGGAGGAAAACTCCCCAAATCCAGGAACTTTTCGGGATTACCAGGGAGGAAAACCCCCCAGATCCAGGAACTCCCCCCAGCTCCAGGAACTTTTGGGAGGAAAACCTCCCAGATCTAGGAACTTTTTGGGAGAAACCCCCCCCAGTTCCAGGAACTTTTTGGGATAACCAGGGAGCAAACCCCCCCCAGATCCAGGAACTTTTGGGAGGAAAACCCCCCAGATCCAAGAACTTTTCAAGGATAACCAGGGTGGAAAACCCCCAAATCCAGGAACTTTTTGGGAGGAAAACCCCCCAACTCCAGGAACTTTTTGGGATAACCAGGGAGGAAAAACCCCCCAGCTCCGGGAACATTTCAGGATAACTTTTCGGGATAAAACTTTTCGGGTCAGACCAGAGGCTTTGCCGTGACCTTTTTCTCTCTTCTTCGCTGCTCTCCTGCCACTTGATTCCCCCTTTTCCCTGCTCCCCCTTGGATGTGCCTGTCCCGTGTCCGTGTGTCCGTGTGTCCGTGTGTCCGTGTGTCCGTGTCCGTGTGTCCGTGCCGTGTCCGTGTCCTCTCACGACTCTCTTTCTGTGTTTCAGACAGTTACAAACAAAAGCATTCCTTGAAACCTCCCGACCGAGGTAGTTTCCTCTTTTCTTTGCTCTTTTCTTCTTTTATCTCCCCTTTTTTTCCTGCTTTTTTTTCTTCCCCCTCCCCCCCTTTTCTCCTCCGTCCCTTATTTTTTTGTGGGATTTTTCCATCCCCTGGGAAGGGAGGGAGGGAGGGTTTGGATCCGTGGGGGGGGGGAAAAAGGAGGGAGGGAGGGAGGGAAGAAGGAGCCAAAGGAGCGACGACGTCAGCGCCGGTTCCCCCCCGCCGGCCCCCGGCCCCTTTTCCAGCCCTTTTCCAGCAGGGAATGGGCCGGGAAAACAAAGATTAAACCACCCCCCCCGTGGTGCCAGAGGGGTTGGGAAAAACACCCGGATCCCGGGATGTGCCTCCGGATCCCGGGATGTGCCTCTGGACCCCAGGAGCTGCCGGAGCTCCCTCGGTGTCGTCCCGCTAAAATTCCACTGAAATTCCACTGAAATTCCACAGCTTTGCCTAAAAAAAATGGGATGGACAGGCAGGGATGAACCGGGATCTTCCCAGTTTTTGTGGGATCGGGAAGCTGGAGTTGGGTTTGGAGCCGATCCGGCCTCGGTTTTGGGGGGGAAAAGGTCACTTTGGAGCCCCCGCGGGTGGAATTCCAACCCCTGGTGGGCCTGGAATTGCTGCTCCTGGGGCTGTTTTTTCCCTCCAGGGCCCCACTTGGCTCCGGGAATGTGGAATTCCACCCTGGAATTGCTGCTCCTGGGGCTGTTTTTTACCCTCCAGGGCCCCACTTGGCTCCGGGAATGTGGAATTCCAACCCCTGGTGGGCCTGGAATTGCTGCTCCAGGGGCTGTTTTTTCCCTCCATATCCCTCGGCTCCCAGGGAAACGAGGATCCCACAGATCCCTGGATCCCAAGGGAATTCCTGGGGCCTTTCATCCCAAAAATCCAGTATCAACCTCCCTTGGAATGTCCAAAGCTCCCAAAAACAGGGTGGGAAATGGGAAAATCCAGGAGTTTTTTGGGTGGGGGGTTTGGAGGAGCCCCGTGGATCCAAGGGGGGGAAGAAGAGCCGGGATAAATCCCTGGAATCTGCCTCGGCCCCTCCTTGGAATCCCAGAAACCCCCAAGTTGGATTTTTGACCTGGAGATGGTTTTGGTTTGTTTGTTTTTGGGGTCAGAATTCCTTCCCCCTCCAGTGGGATCTTCCCAGTGGGATTTTCCCCTTGGATCGAGGCCGGGGTGGGATGGGGGGGTTTGCTGAATATCCGGACACAGCAGGATGAGATTCCTTTGGGAATTCCAAGGCGCTTCCAACCCTTCCCAGGTGACTTTGTGAGGGGCCGGGAATTCCAGGTGACTTTGTGATCCCCCATTCCCGGGGCTGGGAATGTTGGGGGTGCAGCTGGACGGGCTGTGGGATGTGGGATTTGGCTTCCCGGGGGAAGGAAGCTGAGATTATTCCCGTTTTTTTTCCGTAGTCTGCGGGAAGCGCTACAAGAACCGGCCGGGGCTGAGTTACCACTACGCCCATTCCCACCTGGCCGAGGAGGAGGGGGACGACAAGGACGATTCCCAACCCCCCACGCCCGTCTCCCAACGCTCCGAGGAGCAGAAATGTGAGAGGATTCCCAAAAATCCCCCCCCGAATTCCCGCCGGGAGGAGGCAGGAAAAGCTGTGGAGCCGCCTTTTCCGGGGGGCGAATGAGCAGAGATCCTGGCCCTGGGGGGTCTGGTGGTGCTGCTCCCAACTTCCACAGCTCCCAGAAATTCCAGAAATTCCACAGCTTTCAGAAATTCCACACCTTCCATAACTTCCAAAAATTCCATGACTTCCAAAAATTCCACACCTTCCAAAAATTCCACACTTTCCAAGAATTTCACACCTTCCACAGCTTCCAAAAATTCCACACCTCCCACGACTCCCAAAAATTCCACAACTTCCAAAAATTCTTCACCTTTTAAAAATTCCAGACCTTTTAAAAATTCCACAACTTCCTAAACTTCCACACTTTCAAAAATTCCACGCCTTCCAAAAATCCCACAACTTCCAAAAATTCCACAACTTCCAAGAATTTCACACCTTCCGCAACTTCCAAAAATTCCACACCTTCCAGAACTTCCCAAACTCCCACAACCTCCCAAACTCCCACAACTTCCAAGAATTCCACACCTTCCCCAACTTCCAAAAATTCTACACCTTTTAAAAATTCCACACCTTCCAAAAATCCCACACCTCCCAAAAATCCCACAACTTCCGAGAATTCCACCCTTCCCAAACTTCCCCAACTTTCCCACCTTCCCGAACTCCCACAATTCCCACAGGACCTCCCCCCGCGACTCCCAAAAATCCCACAACTCCCGGGCTGGGAAGCTGTGGCAGGAACCTCTCGGGATTGGCTCCCGGGGAGGGTTTTTTTCCCGCTGATCCGAGTGTCCCATTCCCGCTTTTCCAGCCAAGAAAGGCCCGGACGGGTTGGCCCTTCCCAACAACTACTGCGACTTCTGCCTGGGGGACTCCAAGATCAACAAGAAGACGGGGCAGCCCGAGGAGCTCGTGTCCTGCTCCGACTGCGGGAGGTCAGGTGGGGCCCTTTCCATGAATCCTGCCAAATTCCAGGGGGATCCCTTCACCTTTCCAGGGTTTTATCCCTGATAGTTGCCCGGGTGGGAATTGCCGGCGGTGCGGACGTGCCGCTGGCAGGGCGGGGGGTTTCCATGGCAATTCTGGGACAATTCCAGGATGTTTCCATGTTGTTTCCATGATGATTTGTTCCCATGATGTTTCCATGATGATTCCATGACAATTCCATGACAATTCCCAGTCCAGGTCACCCGTGGTGCCTGCAGGTCATGCTGGTGGTGCGGACGTGCCGCTGGCAGGGCAGGGGGTGTCCATGGCAATTCCAGGACAATTCCATGATGTTTCCATGATGATTTGTTCCCACGATGATTCCATGATGTTTCCATGATATTTCCATGACAATTCCATGACAATTCCCCGTCCAGGTCACCCGTGACACCGGCAGTGACGGCAGCGGTGCGGACGTGCCGCTGGCAGGGCAGGGGGTTTCCATGGCAGTTCCATGACAATTCCATGACAATTCCCTGCTAATTCCATGACAATTCCCTGATAATTCCATGACAATTCCCTGATAATTCCCTGGTATTTCCCTGTCATTCCCAGGTCACCCGTGGTGCCTGCAGTTCACGCCGGCGGTGACGGTGGCGGTGCGGACGTGCCGCTGGCAGGGCAGGGGGTTTCCATGACAATTCCATGACAATTCCCTGCTAATTCCATGACAATTCCATGATGTTTCCATGACAATTCCCTGCTGATTCCCTGTCATTCCCAGGTCACCTGTCGTGCCTGCAGTTCACGCCGGCGGTGACGGTGGCGGTGCGGACGTGCTGCTGGCAGGGTGTTGGGTTTCCATGGCAATTCCATGACAATTCCATGATAATTCCATGACAGTTCCATGACAATTCCCTGCTAATTCCATGGTGTTTCATTGGCAGGGCACCCGTCGTGCCTGCAGTTCACGCCGGTGATGATGGCAGCGGTGAAGACGTACCGCTGGCAGTGCATCGAGTGCAAGTGCTGCAACATCTGCGGCACCTCCGAGAACGACGTGAGGACCAAACCCACCGGGAACGCCCCAAAATCCACTGGGAATGCCCCAAAACCCACTGGGAATGCCCCAGAATCCACTGGGAATGCTCCAGAATCCACTGGGAACGCCCCAAAACCCACTGGGAATGGCCATAATTCACTGGGAACACCCAAAAATCCACTGGGAAAACTCAAAGCTCCACTG